CTATTGTGCACAGTGCGGCGTATACGTAATATTTGATTGCACCTGCTCTGCCGCTGTCGATCGAAATGAAATGGGTATGGTTGGAAAAAAGAGTCGAAGGTAGCTGGGAATCGCGATTCTCATTTACATAACAACGACTCTGTACTCGGTGCGAGTATTGAGTGCAGTCAATTCGGTGTTAAAAAGCGTTAAATGTAACAAGCCAGGCCAGTCAGGAGGCAGTTACAACAACGAGAGGTAACTTTAAGGTGGCCAGAGATAAAGTAACTCTTTTTGGACACAAAGGGAAAAAGGGGAACAGTTTAATTAAGGAAATAATCATATATCCTGAACCCAGGATACTTTAAGATCAATCTTGTGCATTAAATCATAAAGGAGTATAAAGCATATTGTATGCAAAACTTAATAAAACTATTCTAAAGATAATTATGACAATAATATTGGTAGAATTACTTCATAGGATTGTTTCAAATATCAAATTCTAACCATTTTTATCCATATTCATAAGTTATATTAGAAATGCAACCCTTCTGAACCCAGGATACTTTAAGATCAATTCTGTGCCTTAATCATAAAGGAGTATAGAGCATATTGCACGAAAAACTTAATCAAAACTGTTCCTTAGTAAATTAAGAGGGAGTTCTTAATAAAAGTACATCATAGGATTGATTTTTAGACTATATATAGTATTTTTTTTCAATAATAAATACCAATTTCTAATCCTTTTCCTTCATAAGTTATATTTAAAATGCAATGCCTCACATTAAAAGTTCTTGAATAAATGTAATTAACATTTTAAAAGAATAAAGAAACATTATTTATGATTATTGATCTTTGTAAGATATAGCAATATACCTTCAACAATTTGTTAATTAATCAACTCCCTTTATAATCATAATTTCAGTGTATTTTCATTTCCATCTCACATGCAATTTGGCTTGTTTTCGCTTGAGTTTTCATTTCGCTGCTGGTTGGAAAACGACGACGATGACGATGACGTTGGCGTATAATTTACATTTTGCCTCACTTCACGAGGTGCCATAATCATAAATTGACAACTTGAAATTTGCACAAGCACACACAAGCCATGACCATTTTCCACCCATTTTTCACAAGGCATTTCCACCTACAAATTTTCCACACACCCCTCCGTCCGACGCTTCTTCTTGGTTGGCCTGTCAGGCATTTTTCGGGGCATTGTATCTGCATTTTTAATGCACTTCTTCCTACCATTAAAGTGCAAAAAGTCCTCGCCCCCCTCCTAAATTATTCCACCCCCTATATCCTGCCACTCAGGATCGGGTTTTTGTTGCTTCTGCAGAATTTGACAAGTTTTGAAGTCTAAAATGTTGTGTGCCCCTCTTGGTTTTCTTTTGTTGCAGCGGCACAACAAATTGGCGCGGCTTGTTTACATGCAAAAAACTATACAAAAAAAAACATAGTTTGGCAAAAAAGAACAAATATGCAACGTAATGAAAATTCATCGGGAAAGGCAACAAAAAGTGCAAAGTGCCGGGAAAGTTGCAGCAAAACTTTTTGCATTTTTGGCTGCAAGTTTTTCGGGTGAGAAGAGAGAGAGCCTGGAAAAGTTGAATTCGTCGAAAGTTAATTGAAAATGGCTTGCACTTAATTTAGATGAACTTTTGGCCACAATCGCCAAAGGGGGATATAACGCCAAAAGGATACAAAATCCGCGGGGCCAAACAAAGCAAGCAAAATGAGTGACAGAAAGCTGTGTCAACAGACAAGCGGCTAATGAAGCAAAAGGATAAACGCTGCCAAAAAGGACACAATAAAAATGCAAATATTTAAACAAAAGCCGCACAAACACGAACACGTTTCCAGCGAAAAACCGCAAAGCATAAACAGAATATACGTTGGAAAATTGCGACTGACTGTCTCCGTTTGTGTGAAAATTAACACGCAATTTTCAGGTCGACAACAAGCGAAAACGAAACGAATAAAAATCAAAATAAAATAAAAAAAAATGGCAAACGGAAGGATGGACTCCGCTTAAAGCCGAAAATCAAACGGCGAAAAGACAACACGCAAAACGATCGATAAGGCCGGCCAGATAAGAGAGAGAGCGAGGTCCTGCGAAGGAACCGAAGGAGAAGAGTTGCCATTTTAAGCTGTCTTCTTCCAGACAGAAATTGCTGCACAGGAACAAACTTGACATAATTGGTAATTAATTTGTATTGAAAGGATTTCTTTTCAGTTTATAAATACATTGAAATAAAATGACTCATATACTTGCTATATATACTATTCAACGATCAATTTATAAAGTTTTAAATTAAAGTTTTTAGTATAAAATACCAAAAATATTGTTTGAGTTTTTAAAGGAGCTTAGAAGCTGTCTAAAAGTATGCTATGATTTGTATATTGGACTTTTATTTCATCAAGAATTATATCCTTACTCGAGGCATTATTTTAGTTTCAAATATCTTACAAAAACATGATTGAAAACAGATTAAAATTTCCTATATAACCAATATTTTAAATACATATCTATTTCTGACTAGATTTATTCTCTGTGTGTGCTACCCCCGAGTGTCCTTTTCCCTGTCTCTTCTCTTCTATTCCCATCATTGTATGTGTATGGCACACTTTAAAGCATTAGTTGGACTTTTTATGGCCCTGGCATTAGGCGCTTAAGACGTTCAAGCCAAAAGGATAACAACAACGGTCGGCAGACGACAAGCGACAAACGGACAGGAGACAGAGAGCGACCAAAGAGAGAGAGAGAGGGATATGTTCAGGGGGGGTTGTAAGAAAAAGGACGAGGATGAGGAGGAGGCAAAGACCAGAAGGAGAACGGCATATAAAAGCAAAAGAGGCTAAGTGACAACTAAACTTAATGGCACTTCAACAACAGCATGAAGCAATGGACGCAGAAGAGCCACCGAACCCAGGACACTGGCGTAGTCAGGGGTTTTGGGAGGGGGCAGGTAAGAGCAAAGGGACCTCAACGGACATTAGCCTCATTGAATTGAATGACAAAACAAACGACGGACGAACGAGGCAAAAGGCAAAGGCGAAGGAGAAGGACAAGGCGATGTTGCGGATAAGGATAAGCAGTGCACATACACAGGGATTTATATTTCAAATTCAATTTGAGAGTAAAAATAAGGTAAATATCTATGAAAAATATTTTTACTTTCAGTACATTCGAAATAAAGCAAAAACAGCTTTCTTATTTAAGGAAATACATCAAAATATAGATAAATTAGTATCAAATCAACCAATATGTTTTATGTATTGCTATTTTTTTCTCTCAGTGCACTACGCACACAGTAGCTATAAGCACGTTACAACAACAACAACAGTAGCGTTGAACGACGACAGCGATGAAAATGTTGTATCAGTACAGCATTAAGATAAAGCCAGCAACAGCATCAGGACATAAATAACACCGATCTGGGCAAGGAAAAAAGCGTAAAAGAAAAGCGGTGCAAAGAATGACGAACATTGAGATACTCTCAAGGATTTGGGATAGTGAAGCGCCAAATTGGTCAGGTATTTTCCAAAGGATAACACAAGATAATCTAGGCTGATTAAGAGACAGGTAAAAAGTGGACTAAAGCTCCTGCTGAGAAGATGAATAGTAAACAAATTAACCAGAGAATTTAAGAAAGATAATAAGCTTCTTTTAATATAATTTTAAATAAACAAATAGAACAAGAATTAAATATGTATTTAATTAACTTATTAAATCAATGAACATTTAACTTAAAAAACAACAAAAACTCCCATTATCTCTGATATTTACATACAAAATAAATATAAACAAACCTGCCTTAAGCCTACTCTCTCTTAAGTCCCCTAAAAAACTCTAAAACACTTTGAGTAAGGTTCAAAAGTAACCCACAAAAAAATATACAAAAAAAGAACAATATAAGTATACCCTCACCTCCGTATCGCCATTTACCCCGTACTCCCCCACAAATGTGTGAAAATAGTGGACAATTTTCCAAAGCGTTTCCACATTCACACTATCTCTCTTTCTGTCACTCCCGCTGACATTGCCGCTGCCATTTCTTTTTTTCGGCCGCTGCCATTTTGTTGCCATTGTTGCTGGACAATTTCCGCTTCCGGCGCGTGAACGCAACCAAAGAAAGAGCGAAGCGAACTGAACTCAACTCAACTGAACTGAATTGAATTGAGTCGAGTTGAAGCAGTGAAGGAGCGAAGCCATGTCGCATATTGGTTTATGCATGAGGCCTCGGCTAGCGACAATGGGCCACGCCCCCATTGCGAAAGCAGCGGGCAGTGTGAACACTTCATTTGTCAAGCTTAGTTTTTGGGGACAGAGAAAGGACATGCCGAGTCCTTAGACAAGCACTGAGGATGAAGGTAGGATTTTTAGCAGTGTTTTTGGAAGAGTTTTTCTATTGAAAAGTGAATTTTTTCGGATTTTCTAGTGAGATTTGTTTAAAGAAATTAAGTTTGAGAGGTCATACTATAAAGGTTATGCAAGTTTAATAGGTATTTGTTTAATAATGATACGATTTTTTGTTAGAATTTTAATATATAATCATTGAAAGCCTAGGAAAATATATATTTAATAATGTTTTGAAGATGCTGTAATAGTTATTAACAAATTCTAACGCAAATTATGACTTTTGTATATATTAATAAATTCTAACGCAGCTATAGGTATTAATTAACCTTAAATAGAAGTTTTCATTGCTTTTCTTATGCAAGTTTGACTATACTTAATATCATTTGCATTTCACCGATAATATTTTCTTGAAGAATATTTTTAAAGTATTTTTTCTTGTGACATTCCTATATTTCATTTTATACATATTTTTTAAAAATCTCCCAGTGCGCATTTAAATGAGCCAACTGGCTATTTGAGCATCTCAAACTAAAACTAAGCCAAACTGTGAGCCAAGGAACCCAAGGAAGCTGAAAGCTAAAAACTGAAAACTGAATACTGAAAAACAGTGAACTGAAAAGTGCAAAAAGCGAACGTATTTCTCAAATGCACTTACCGAAACTGCATTAATTATTCAGCAGCCATGGCTGAGGACTAACTGGCCTGTCCCGCTCCGCTCTGCTCTGTTTCGTCCTGGCTCCTGGAGGCCGACTCCTGGCCTGGTCAGCGGTCTCTGGGTTGAAAGTCGACAAGTCGCAATGTGGCAACGAGTTGAGCAGCTGAGCTGAGAGAGGCCGAGGAGAGCCCGATGCATGCCTGCAAAACAGAGGGAAAAGTGGCATAAATATTAAATGCAAAATAGCACAAGAGCTGATGCTGAAGCTGAAGTTGAGAAATCCCCAACTGCCAGCAGGGATTTTCCCAGCCTCCCTCCCTCATTTTCTCACTAAAGAATTTTATGTTGACCCTCGCGAAAAGTTTCTTTCATTCCCAGTTTTGCATTTTCACGATGGTATTTTCTCCTTCTCCGTTTCCTTCATACTTTACTAAACATTTTACTAAATTATGACGTATTTTTGCATTTTTTGTTGCTGTATAAATATATAAATAAATCAAATAAAATATGCGCGCGTTCAGGCCGAAAGCTAAGGCCAAGACATTGGCGCCGGGCAAAAGGGAGGCTGTCCTTTGTGACCTGGTTTTCTTTTTTTTGGTCATAACAATATTGCCAACCGAAGCGTGGAGCAGCGCACACAATTACCGTGGCAACGTTTGCCCGCCCACCAGAGCCACGCCCCCCTCAGGCACGCCCCCTCTTCAAAGAGAGTGGGTGTGTGGGTGTGTGTGTGTGGCACTGACGTCATTGCTGCACTCGCACAATTACCATTGCAACAACTGCAAAAGACGACGACAACGTGACCTGACGACGGTCACTTGGGCTTCACTTTAAATATATATATACATATACATTTTACTATATATATATGATTCTCTATATATATGTATGCGAGGGAGGGGGTTGGGTTTAGAGAGGGACCTGCCAAGGTTAATCATCTGCTTGTCCGCCCATTTTAATTGGCCTGCTGCCTGGCGGCGCCTTTAAGTGAGTTATAAAATGCAAAACTATTTCGACATCAAACCATCCATCCCTCCTTTGCGTACTTCCCTTGATGAGCTTTAAATTTGAGGAGCAGCTCGTAAAGTTCAGGCAAATGGAATAGAAGATGAGCTGTTGCCAAGAGGATCTAAATCCAGAGGAGGAGCACCTAGATAGCTAGCTAGTTGAGCTAGTAAAGTGATAAACTTGGAAATGCTTTCTCAGCCAAGGATTTATACCCTTTAAATTAAAGGACGCAAGGCTTAAAATGCACAGAAGAAAGTGTAATTTAAAATAAAACATAATCAATGGTAGGCACTTTTAAAGGACATTTAGGGAGGGGAAGTTTACTAAAGTAAACAAATATTTAATATGTCCTTAAAGGCCTGATTTTGGTAATTAAAATATATTAAGAGGACTTTTATTATTATTATTCTTATTATTGTATGAATAAATAAATTACCTTAGTAGATAACTCCTAGTATGCAAAGTTATATATTAAGGCTTTATTTCCTCTAGTTTAAACTCTTTCTAAATATAAATTAAAGCTTAAACAACTCTAATTCCTTAAACTTTCTTAAACCTTCTCTAACAAACACTTGTCTTAAAGCATGTTCTCTAACTTTTAATACCTCTTTAAATTAATATCCTTGTGCCTGCAATAAATCCACATTTAATTTGGCTTTCTCCTAAGTAATTCCCAGCTTCGCTTTCCGATCCAACTATAGATATATATATATATATATAAAGATATATCTAGCACTGAAATCCATTCTGATGCCATGATTACACTCTATCGCCTGCTTAAGCGCCTTTTTATTTAACTATATAAAACTGCAGCGCATCAGAAATTAGAGAAGTGAATGCCGGAGGCGAAAATAAACAAGCGAACGTGTTGAGAGACGATGGGAAAATGGTAGCAGGAGGGGTAGAAAAAGGAGGAGGGGGAGGAGGGTTCAAAGTTCAAAAGGGGAAAGGAGGTGACAGAGGGTTCACAGCGTGATAACGCTTTGTAAATACTTTTGCTGCTGCTGCAGCAGCTTTCCACTGATGTTGTTTTTTCTAGCTTTATTTTTTTGTCGCTTCCTTTGGCTTTGCCATCGCAAATTTTTATCTCCATTTGCGAGCTGCGCTTTTCTGCTGTTTTTCCCCCCCTTTACACCCCTCTCCACTGGGGGGGAAAAATCACAGAGACAAGGCTGCGCTTTTGTTTTTCCAGGCAAACGCGAAGCGAGAAAAAGGGATATTATTAAGCGTGGATGTCAGCGGCGTTATCGCCAGGCCAGCTCTAAGTGCAGGACACCAAATAAGAGGACGGAAAAACAGACAGTCGGAAAAACAGACAGACAGACAGACAGTTGGAAAAACTGTAAGATCCCGGTTAGCAATGTGTTTTGGAAAAGCTTTTTGCCAAATTAAATATTAAAACCGTGTGCACTTATGCAACTTTAATGCAATTTTCCCAAAGTAAATGTCCACATCGCGTATACTTAATTTGCGCCAATTTCCACGCTGGTCGCATATAAAAAAAAGAGAGAGAAAAGGATTAATACACTTGAAAGGCAGTGAGTTGCCACGCCAAGAGACCATTTACCTGAAAGCCAAATGAAGCCGCAATAACAGCGACATTTACAATGGAAATTAGAGTACAATGGCAGAGCTGGCGAATACCCTACAAGTGCACTTTCCTTTTTCTAGGTTAATCGAAAACAATACTTATAGTTTGGCCAAAAAGGGTATTGTTTTAGAGCCACAAAATCATTGGTGACTTGCCGATCAAATTGTAAAGGTTTTTGTAGGAAATATTTAACAATTAAAAGCATATATTAAGCTCTTAGAAGGAACTTAACATTGATATATTTTGCAGCTTTTAATTTAATGGAAATGCTAGATTCTTAGTTTTAATTTCTATATATTGTTATAGTTATAATATAAAAAAACCATATCCTTTAAGCTCTCCCAACATCCTGTGTTACCCTTTTGAAAGAGCATATCTCTGCTCATATTCTTTGCTTCTGTAAGAGCCAATAAAACCCAAGAGTTTGCCTTAATTTACAGGCCAGAAACTAAAACAGAAGCTGAAACTCACGGCACAGTTACACAGGTACAAGTTTATGCCCATGGAAAAGCATGAAAAATTCAGGAGGCCTCGCGACTGCAGAAAGCTGCCCCAAAATGTCACACAAATGGTGGAGTGGCAAGTACTGGAGGTGGAAGGAGAACGAAATGCCGCCTCATTTGTTGCTGCTCTTGTTTCGCTGTTGCACTGCAACTTAAATCACATCCTTCCCGGTACACCAGGACATGTGATTTTCGGTCAGACACTGCACCAATGTCGGGCAGGATGTATAAGCATGTATCCCATATCTGCATGCCACTTGCACTCATGCTACTTTCTTGGCATTTTACGTGACCCCCGTCGCAACCCATTCCATTCCATTTTCCCCATTTCCCATTTCCCATTTCCCATTTTTGGGCTTCTGCCTTTCTTTTCCTCTGAAGGAAAATCCCCTGGCCATTTCTCATCGGCTGAAACAAAGTCGCGCGTGGTTTCTTTCCTTCCGCCTTTTGCCTCCATCCATGACTACATTTTACTGCATGACAATTTATTGAGTTCCCCTTGTTTTCCTTTGTCTTTTCGGGGGGTTTTTCCCCCCTTTTGTAACCCTTCTTCGTTTTTTTTTTTTGTGGCAAGTGCTTATTTTGCCTGTTTTGGTTGGTTGTAAATTTTTATTGTTCCCCTTGTTTTTCCACCAGATACTATTTTATTTGCCATGCAGAAAGCGGGTTGTGGCTTTCCTCTTTTTTTGGTAACAAGAGATCTGGTCCTGGTATCTGCCACAAAGTATGCAACAAAATGCACCTAAGGATGCTTTGTACTTGGAGTTTTTTTGTTAATGATTTCCCTAAAAGTTGAAAAGCATTCTAATGTGGACTTTATGGGTGACTTCTTGACTACAATCTAAGGATTTTATAGATGTTTTCTGTGTTGTGTGGACGCTGGAACTAAGTTTAAATTGCGTTTAATTCATACCTAATTATAATTGATTATTTTACTTAGTTATTAACCATTAAACTAACTTAAATATTGCTTGAAATCACCTTTTTATTACCCTTTAACATTTATTTAAGTTACTTAAACACACTTTCAATTACTACTGAGCATTGTTGCACTCTGCCATAACTTTACTTTAACAATTTCTACATGTTTTTTGTTTATGGTTTTCGCCACATCGTCTTCTCTACCATTTCGCGTTTTCACTTTGTTTTATATGCAAAAATTTTAGTAAATAACGCGAGTTGCCTGTGTGCTTGCTTTACTTTTATTTGCTCGCTTTTATTTGCTGTTGGCGTTCGTTGCTGCTGCTGCTGCTTTTTACTGTGCTGTGGTGAGGGGAATCCCCCAGTCACACTTTCCCTCCTCCTCCTCCTCCTGGGGAACTCCCTTTTTTCCCCAGCTATCTGCGGCTTGGCACACATTCCCACACATTGTATTCCCAGCGATTTTATTTACATTTGCCGTGTGTTTTTCCATTGCACTGCCGCAGTTCGTGAGCAAATAAAGTAGAGGCACTCCGCCTCATACATTTTCGCCAGCTGCTCCCCTTTTCTTTTTTTTTTATATATTTTCCTATATAAATTTCCCCCCCTCAGCTTAGCATGCTAAAATTACTTTCAGCATTTGATCCATAATGCAGTGTATACGAACCACATTTGACGTATTTATGAGCTGACCGCAGACAAGTCCTCGCCCAGTTTTATTTTATTTTTACCTCCGCCATCGGCACTCTCTAAACTCCATTTATAACTTTTCACCCACCCCACCGTCCACCCGAAAAAGCCAATCAAAAGCCACAAAATTCAGCATTCTCCGACACCTGATGGTGGCTGCAGTTCACTTTGGTTCAGTTCAGTCGAGAAAAGCGATCGGGGAGAGGGTGGGGGAAAGAAAAACGTGGAAATAAAGCCAGCCTGCCAGCTGTGGATATGTGGGTGCATAAAAAATGCACACACCACCGGCCCGAGGGGAGTGCCACCAGGCCCCGCGGCAACTTTACCGCTCGCCACTGGCCAGCGTCCAGTTGCAGGGAACTGACCAGCCACTCAGACCATTCAGACACCCAAAGAGCCACCCAAAGAGCCACCCAATAAGCCACCCAAACGGCCACCCACACCTGACCATTGAATCACGCCTACAGCAGTGGCTAAGGTAATAGTT